CCCCCCCCCCCCCCCCCTTGAGTCAATTATCAATGGATAATGTTTTTATTTGTATTAATCTAATCGACCACCTTTGTCCCTTCTAACTCCTCTCGGTAGGTGTTTTCTTCAGATGTGAAAACTTAGAGATTTTGGTGTGATCACATTCATTTGTGGAAACATGCCAGTGTCGGTAGTTTAGGCACTCTGTTCTGAAATGAATGGGACGTCACAGAGTGTGACGAGGCATGTTTTAGCTGATTCGATTATGTTTGAAAGACATACACCTTTAAAGTGACGTTCTCTGTTTCCCCTCCCTCGTTCTTGCTTTCTCTCTGCAGTATTTTGTCGTCAGTGGGGTCTCAGCTTGACCTGAGGACACTACGAGCCGTCAGAGTGCTACGACCACTGAAACTGGTGTCTGGGATTCCCAGTAAGTGTTTCTTTGTGTGCACGCTGCCCATTTTCACTTGGAAATTTGACAAAACCAATGCATGCATTTACTAAAACCGGTTGACAGTGCTCCCCTTGTTGCTTGGTTTGCAGAAACAAACCCATCAATAAGGAAGTCTCTGAATGCTTCAATATTTGAAATAAAGCCCCAAATCCATCCACTATAACATATAACGTTAATCATCTGATTGTGTCCTCCAGGCCTGCAGGTGGTGCTCAAGTCCATTATGAAGGCTATGATCCCCCTGCTGCAGATTGGCCTGCTGTTGTTCGTGGCCATCCTCATGTTCGCCATCATCGGCCTGGAGTTCTACATGGGGAAGTTCCACACTACCTGCTTCGACAAAGTCACACGTAAGAAAGAAAAGTCCAAAAGCCGTTCCTTTTTCACTGCAGATCTTTTGACTTGCCATGGTGGGAAAAGCACCGGTTGATCTGTAACATGTGTTTGTTAGAATTAGCTTTCTGATCTAAACTGAATTCCTTGCATCGTTGGATCTTTCTCTCCTTAATCAGGAGAGGTAGTGGACTCATTACCGTGCGGCACAAAGTTGCCGTCGCGGCTGTGTCCTAACGGCACAGAGTGCGATGATCGCTGGATTGGACCCAACTACGGCATCACCCAGTTCGACAACATCCTGTTCGCCGTGCTCACCGTCTTCCAGTGCATCACCATGGAGGGATGGACGGAAATGCTCTACTATGTGAGTTAGCTAAGAAATGTCTTGTTCGGGGTTCGGTTGTACTTAGCTCCACCCTCTCGTGTCGCTTTTGGTTGCTTTAAACCAAGATGGCGACGGCCCAAAAACCACGATATCAACTAACGACTAAACGACCAAACTCAAGTCTTCATAACCGTTGTTTGCGAACCAATGGGTGACGTCACTGGGACTATATCCGCTTCTTGTATTGACCAACAGCTTGGGTCCATGTTATGTATGAAGTCACCATTGCGATTGTTTTTAGTGATCTCTGCGATGTGCGTTGGGTTTGTACCGTATCCTTTTTAGCACCCTGAAGGAGTCGCGGGGGCGGCTGGGTGTGGAGGGGTTGGTGATTGGCTTGAATTTCATCAAGCCAAATGAGGCTTAAAGTAGTTTGAGATTTGATTCAAAACACCATTTATTTGTCTAAAAGCCATTTTCCATCCCACTCTCTCTCTCTCTCATTCTCCGACTCCCTTTTATCCGTCTTCTCATCTGTCCTTTTTCCTGCCGTCGGGGTCGCTCTCTCCCTCCCTCTCCGCCTCCTTCTCTTCCACTCTCTATTCTGGGCCGTCTCGTCTATATTTAACATCTTTTTCTGATGGATAGAGGCCGACTTCCACACTCACACGGGCAGTCAGGAGGAAACCAATGAAAGTTTAATAGAGAACGGCGCTGCTCGCACTAGCTGTACCATGCAGAATAAAACACATGCACACAAGCGCTCCAGCAGCAGATAATAATCAGCTGATAGTTCCATTTAGGCGTTACACGGGAAACAGAAGCACAAGATGCTCCGGTAACCTGATTTCTCTCATTGTCAGCTTATTTGTGGGGGAAAAAAAAGGAAGTGGCATAGTGTCAATCAATTTTGTCGCTATTGACGTTGCTCAGCAGACACCTCGGTGTGATCGATGTTTGTGAAAGCAGGAGACGCTGTAATGTGACACATGGCATTGTGTCCGTATGTTGTCTTGTCTGCACGCAAATAAGTCTGCAGCCGTGTCAGGTTTTAGGACATGAACATGTGTCACTCCTCAAGCCAGAATAATACACATACCCGATCTCCCCTTGGTTCTTGTGCATTAAAGATAAAGTTGCCAACATCTTCCAGTCCATCCTGGTGTCTTCAGTTAGTTAGCTTCATTATTATTAGCCAAGTAGCTTGATTGTGATCTCATAGAAATTCAAACAAAATCGCAAATCATTCGGTCAGGGATTTTAGACACAGTAGCTAAAACTGCAACAGCTTAATACTGTAACATAACATCTTTTTTTTCAATACTTACCCGCCTAATTCATAACCTTGCCTGAAGCCTGTGTAAAACCCAGGCGGCAACCTCCTGTTGTGCCGAGTGAAGCCAATGCTGAAGTCTTAAAGCTGCATTCTCTCTAGTGTCCACCAGGGGGCGACTCCTCTGGTTGTATAGAAGTCTATGAGAAAATGACTCTACTTCTCTCTTGATTTATTACCTCAGTAAACATTGTAAACATGAGTTTATGGTCTCAATCTCTAGTTTCAAGTCTTCTTCAATACAGCATGATAATTCCATTACGACTGAATGCAACTTATGTCAATTAATAATATGAGTGAGTGGACACAACAAATATTACATTGTTATATTATTACACTGTTAACTTCCAAAAGCAGACCACATTTCATCCACCAACTTAACGTTATTTGTCCCCGCCCAACTTTGCACAAACTGGCAAAACCGGGTGTGTAAACATATAAGTTTGGTTTGTTTACAGCAAAATGTCCCGGGGCAACTTTAACTTTTTGTGCAAAAAATAAATAGTTATAAAGTGAGCTAGAACAATGGAACCAAAACCGTATTACACTGAGAAGTTTAGTCTCACTCTACTGCAGATAAAATATTCAAACATCAAAGTCTGCACAAGAAAGTGAAACATTTCTGAGCATTCAGGTCGTCATCAGTCTTACTGAACATATACATTTTAATATATTAGATGAGTAATACCGCGTCTGTCTCTGTGTTTTCTCCCGTAGAGTAATGACGTGGAGGGCAGCGCCTGGAACTGGATGTACTACATCCCCCTCATCATCATCGGCTCCTTCTTCATGCTCAACCTGGTGCTGGGTGTGCTCTCAGGGTAAGCTCCTCACAAGCTCTCACCGTCACACAGTTTAATATATAATACCTGTTCCTTCTGTTTGCCTTTGTACGATTTATATTTTCTGCTTTGTTTGATCGAAATGAGACCAAATGACACAGAAAAACAATGCGTCCGCAGTGAATTTGCCAAAGAGAGAGAGCGAGTGGAGAACAGGAGCGAGTTCCTCAAGCTGAGGCGACAGCAGCAGATTGAGAGAGAGCTCAACGGGTACCTGGAGTGGATCTGCAAAGCAGGTCAGTGCACACTGATAAACACACTCTCTCACACACACACACACACACAGACACACGCTGCTCGTTCCCATGTATACACATACTCTATGCGGAAAAACCAACAGTGACTAAAATGTTATTTTCTTGTCCAGAAGAGGTGATTCTGGCCGAGGAGGACGGCACAGGGAACTTTGATGGTAACTGGCCTTCTCTCACTTATTTTTAAGTGTGTGTGTGTGTGTGTGTGTGTGTGTGTGTGTGTGTGTGAGCTGTAAGGAAAAAGAGTGAGGCTAGTGAATTAGTGCAGTCAGCAAAGGACAGTATTGAAGACAGAGCTTCATAGAGACTAGAGATTTAGAGAGAAGCGGGCGTTCACAGTAACCGTGTTTCCATTCACATATTATGTCTGTATATATATATATATATATATATATATATACAGCATGATGTTCATTTAGTACATTATGGTCCATTTAGAGTCAAACAGACCGTAAAGCAGGGGATGATTTAGGGCGGGGCTACACAGTGATTGACAGGTCTCTACCAGAGACTTAAACAGCGTCTCTACGTCACTCCTTCGCATTCCAAATATGGTCACAAATATATAACAACAATATAACATGGCGATGGCCGTAATCCAAGATGGCGCCGAACTCGAGGCTTCAAAACATCAGTCCACAAACCAATAGGTGACGTCACGATGACTACGTCCACGTCTTATATAGAGTCTATTGTTCTGACGTGGCGAACATTAAACTCACGTGACTGTTCTGCTGTTTGCGTCTTCCTAGATATATATTTACATCGTCTTTGTCTCCAGACAACATGAAACGTGGCCAATAAATAGCTGACACGAAAGAACAATTCAAAACGTGTTTAAGGAGCAGATTGATTTTCTATATGTGACTAATAATGTGAAAGGGTTATTCTAGGGTACGCAGGTCTTACCAGCGTGTTTAGCTAATAATGCTCAGCAACTTCGGAGCTGCTCAACTGAAGGTGTGAAGCAGTGAAGGTGGGGTTTATCATAAGACAGTTGGGTGGGTAAGACAGAAACATTTGAGAGATATTTAGATAAACAGAAGACACAATATATATATTTTTTTTCCTCATCGCTAGGGTCGAGGCGAAGGCCAACCATCAAAACCAAAAACAACAAGACGGAGCTGCTGAACCCTGAGGAAGGAGAGGACAACATGGGCGATGCAGTAGGTGAGAAAAACAGAGGGACGAAGACATGTGAGGACAACAAACCTCTTTCAAAGTTTCTGTTCTTTCCAAGCCAAACTTCAGCTGAACATCAGCAGCGGGCTAATAGTAAAGCAAAAAAAGTCATATGTCATCAAATGTTAGTGATGAGCATTATATCCGCTATAGTGGGGGTATTGATGGGTCCAAAAAGAGAAACTATATCAGTCAAACTTAACTATACACCTTCATGCCCCCCCCCCCAGGTTTTGCCCGCTCCAGCATAAAGAGCGGGAAAGACGGCTCCAACTACAGCAAGAAGGAGCGACGACTGCGATTCTTCATCCGCAAGATAGTGAAGACTCAGGCTTTCTATTGGACGGTGCTCTGCCTGGTGGGGCTCAACACCATGTGTGTAGCTGCGGTGCACTACAACCAGCCTGATATGCTCTCTGACTTCCTCTGTGAGTAGATACACACATCAAACACGCAATACACACATGTCAGGGATGGACAGTCGACATATATATTTATATTTGTTTAGCAGTTCTTATTGGTTTTCCATTAAAGCCACCATACCCTGTGTCTGCCAGGGCTGCAGTTGATAGCTAAAGTGATGATGATGACAAGTTAGCTGCTAGCGAGCTAATATGAGCTATGTGTTAGGAAGCTACTGTAGTTAGCTGAGGCACTTGCAAACACAATATAGCTTTCTGGTGTATCCATACTCCACTATGACACAAGTTGCATTCTGTCAAAATGTTTTAGCATACACACACACACACACACACACACACACACACACCTCGTCCTATTCACTTCAAATTTCCTCCCACACATGCACGCCACACATTTACAATTTGAACTCCTTTAAATAGCAGAAGTGTTGCGTTTTTGTACGATCTCATCCATCATCACCTCATTCTTCATCTTCCCCCTGTTGTTTTAGTCACGCTTGCTCAGTTATACTTATACAACACGGGCCAAATCAAGTATTATTCTACAGCTTTATGATGAAGAAATACACTTCAGGTTTTCAAGTATGACACATAAGTATTCTGCTTTTGTCCCAGATATCCAGCGTGAGCTTCGTAGCAGCAAATTGTTATTTTGAATAACTGTCAAAACTAAATATGAACAGAAAGACTTTAAGTTGTTGCTCCTCACCGTATCAATGATACAACTGTGAGTGCATTTTTACATTCTGCTTATTTCATTCTTTATGTTAGTTCTAGATGCAGACTTGATGCTGCTGCTGACATGACCACACACACACACACACACACACACACACACACACACACACACACACACACACACACACTGGCTGGTGTCCAGTCTCATTAGCATATGAAGCTGCTGATGGAGTCCATTCATCACCAGACTGTCATACACCGCTGGGCTCGCACCACTATTGACTTCCACTCATCTAACTCTCTTTCTCTCTCACTTTCCCTTCCTCCTCTTTTGTTTCCCCTCCCCTCCTCTCCTCCCCCACGTTCTCTCTTTTTATCTGACTTCTCCACCTCTCTCTTGTGCTCTGTATTTTCCTCCACCTCCCTCCCTCTTTTTTTATTTCAATCCACTCTTAATCTCTCCATGACCTCACCCTCTTTCATTTTCACCTTCCTCTGTCCCCCATTTAACCCACTCCCTCTATCCTCCCTACCTCCTGTCCTTCTCTCTTCCCCCCTCCTTCCTTTTCTTCTCTCTTTTTTATTCATCCCTCCATCATCTCCTCTCTTTCTCCTTCCTCCCTCCTTCCCTCTCTCTTTCTCCATCCTCCCTCCCTCCTTCCCTCTTTCATTCTCCTCCCACCATCCTTCCCTCTCTCTTTTCCTTCCTCCCTCCTTTTCCTGTCTTTTTCTCCTCCCTCCCTCCTTCCCTCTCTCTTTCTCCATCCTCCCTCCTTTTCCTCTTTTATCCTCCTCCCACCCTCCTTCCCTCTCTCTATCTCCTCCCCCCCTTCCCTTCTCTCCTCTCTCCCCCTCTCTCTCTCTCTCTCTCTCTCTCTCTCTCTCTCTCTCTCTCTCTCTCTCTCTCTCCTTCCTCCCCCCTTTCCTTCTCTCTTTCTCCTCCCCCCTCCAGTCTATGCAGAGTTTATCTTCCTCGGTTTGTTCATGTCTGAGATGTGTATCAAGATGTATGGTCTGGGCATCCAGCCCTACCTCCACTCCTCATTCAACTGCTTCGACTGTGTGGTGAGTGCACACACACACACACACACACACACACACACACACACACTGTAAGTGGGTGAAAAAACAAATCCAACACTCCATTTAATCAACAGATTTTTTCTCATGTAGCTCTGCGACAAATGAACAATGAGCAGATTCAGCGCCGCGTTTGTCACCAATAATTTGTGCAATAACAGAACATTCGTTTGTCCCGCTGACGTCGCTGCGGAGGCTTATTGGCCGGTTTTACTTCTTCTTACATGCTGACATACAACACGCGGTAAAGTGACGCCACGAGAAACTGTATCCAGGTCAGCAGGCAGCGAGTGGAGTTAGACACTCCGAATGCTTCTGTTGTCTCAGCTACAACGTGTTTGTTCGTTTTTATGGTCATTCATCACAAACAACAGATCCGGGAGGATTTCAAAGTGTATTAACTCAGAGACGGCTGAAGGACCTTCGGTTCACTAGATACCTGGAAGATTGAAGTAGCTGTAAAAAGAGTTGTATTCAGAAAGCTGTGTCTGGTTACAAGTTGGTCAAATATAGAGTTTGTTAGCTTGTAGTCTAATTAACCATTTGTCAAATAAATTCCCTCTTTTTTTAATTTCAGAGGGAAATACGAAATATTTTCAGTTTAGTTTTAGTTCTTGACTGTCTCAGAGCTTCAGTTATTTATCATGTTTGTAGCTAAACTTAGGATCAGTTGAAGGATTCAGAAGGACTACGATTTAATGACTTAATACTATTCAGATTTCATGAAATCCTATCAGTCCACAAACTCCCAGAAACAACTTTAGGAAACATCTGCAGGGAAACAAGCAAACACCAAAATCTCACTGGAAGTAAATGTTCAGGTGTGTTTCCAACCACCTGTTTGTACAGGTTACATGTTTGCATAAAAACACCTGAAAATTCTAAAGAAATAGTAATATCACAAAAGAGTTTTTACTTCTTCATTGAGGGGGAAATGTGATGAATTGACGAAAGTGAAATGCGACAAAGTGCAGCGGAAACAGATTCAGCAAAAACGCGAAGACGTACGTGAATTATGTGACTTCAACGATTGAATAATCTGATTTTGTTCTCCCCTCTTCCTCTGTATCTGTATCATGATTTTTCCGCCCGGAGATTTGGAGCCACCTACTCTTTTATCTCCATGAACCAACTCCTAATGGATGGACTCAAGCGTTCATTCGCATTTTCCATTTAATGTTCTTGAAATTGGTTAAAAGTTGTAATATCTAAAATACCCCAAAAATATTCTTGCAGTATCAATAAATCCATGAATTACAGACGCATGGTTTCACATGCACAGTAGAAACTCTTCTGCCTTTTGCTGGGGATCATTTTTTTAAATAATAAATAAGTAAATAACTCTGCATTCATCGGTGTTCATTATTGATATAAAGTCAGAGTCTGCTGGCGACAAACACCCTGAATGAACCCAACAGGATATGACGGTCTGACATGTGTGCGTGTGCAGGTCATTGTGGGCAGCATCTTCGAGGTGGTGTGGGCCACCATCAAACCAGGAACCTCCTTTGGGATCAGTGTGTTACGAGCTCTGCGACTGCTCCGCATCTTCAAAGTCACCAAGTAAGCTCCTCCTTCTCTGTCTGTCTGTGTGTGTGTGTGTGTGTGTGTGTGTATATATATATATATATATATATATATATATATACAGTATATACAGTATATAGAGATTTCTGTTACGTGGTGGAGTGTCAGACAGCACGTTGTCCGTTACGTCGGGTGGGTTGCCATGTTGAGTGCATTATATTTCCCACAATTTAAGCTTCTGCATTTTCCAAATGCACGAGTATTATTGAAACGTATTGTTCGGTTCGTAACGCGTACCGAACCGTGAGCCTCAAAATATTGTTCTAAGAACTACGGTCGTTCTTAGTTCTTGCGGTGAAGACCGAATAAAAAGGAAAACGTCTCCTGATCCTTCATCAGACTGAGGTCTGAGCAGGTTGGAATCAGTCCGACCGTGGGCTGATGAGTCCATGGCGCTGTCCGTGGTGCTGAAGTAGCAGACGGATTCGTAGAGTCCTGCTCTTCTGTCAGTTTCATCTTGGATCAATAATATTCTCTAAACTATAGCTCAGAAAAAGAGTTGTTCATCACCCCCCCACCCCTAACAATTAACAAATCACCTAATGAATATAGAATTATAGAAGAAGTAAATACAAACTGGAATCCCTCATGAAATATGTTCTATAATTTGAGGATCGAAGTATTTTTTACATATGTGTGAAAAGTGTAAAAAAGCTAAAAAGTGTCTTAATGATTATTTTGAGATTAAATCTAACAACATGTTTAATCCCTGTGCTCAATAAATGCAGTAATAAAGTTGTAGGTTTCAATTTACAACCTCTTCTCCTCCATCACTTTTTAAATGTTCTTCCTTTCACGTTCTTCACCTCTATTCCTGCCTTCTTTCCTGTCCTCTTCCTTCATCTCTTTCTCCCTTCTTACCTTTTGCCCTCCCTTCATTAATCCTCCTCCTCCTCCTCCTCTTCCTCCTCAGGTACTGGGCTCCTCTTCGAAACCTGGTGGTTTCTCTGCTGAACTCCATGAAGTCCATCGTCAGCTTGCTGTTCCTCCTCTTCCTCTTCATCGTGGTCTTTGCCCTGTTGGGGATGCAGCTGTTTGGAGGACAGTCAGTATCAACACCAAAAATAAAAAACCCTCTTTTCTCTGAATGAACTTTGTTTCTGTCGTTTATTGTTCATGTGATTGTGACGGCGTTCTACTTTTTTTCCTTTTCTTCTTCTCAGATTCAACTTCGACACCGGAACTCCTCCGACGAACTTTGACACGTTTGCAGCAGCGATCATGACGGTGTTTCAGGTACGGAAGAGAGACTTTAAGAGATGCTCGTGATTATGTACACAAATAAATGACTTATTGCTTTGATTTTGCTCATATGATCCCTTTTGATAAACAAAACGTGTTCTGACATTATTATTTCATATTATTCAATGCCAGAATAAATAGTTCCATTTAATAACCTCCTACTCATACTATCTTATGTGTATAAAAGTTGAACTTATTTAGCGGATTCAATTCTACAATGTGGTTAAAAGTTAGGTTCCAGTTGCTGTGTTTACCAAACATGAATGTAAGCGACACTCATACACACACTCATACACACTCATACACACACTCACACACACTCATACACACACTCACACACACTCACACACACTCGGGTACATTTTGGGGAGAGAGCCGAAGCTCTTTTCTAGAGTGAAGTTTAACGATGCCCATTGTTGTCATGTCATCAGTTTGTCAGATGACTTGTTCGGTCCTGACTGAGACGGCTTTTGTGTCGCTTTATTGTGTCTGAGTGACTCAGAAGTGTGTGTGTGTGTGTGTGTGTGTGTGTTGATGATCACGCATCGGTCTGTGAGAAGCGTCTTTGGGCTCGGGGCATTTTACAAATCATAATTAAAAATGCTGCCTGATACATTCAGTTAAATTCTACTGAGTTCAGTTTACTTTATTTATTTTTTACTTTCATTTCAGTTGTTTTTGTTACATGAATGTTTTACAACAGGTGATGTGATGATGATGATGGTTCATATAGTTTTTGTCTGATTCTCATATCAGATTTATTTAGAAAAAAAATAACTTTATTAATCCCGCAGACAATTCTTGTGCCAGAGTTTCAAAGAGTTTCACTCCTCCTGCTGTTGTGTGCAGCTCTTTGCACTAATAATAAATATTATAATAATGGTATTATGATTATAATAATACTAATAGTAAGAGAATGTCTTGTTGTCTGTGTAGGTCCTGACTGGAGAGGACTGGAACATGGTGATGTACGATGGCATTAAGTCCCAGGGAGGAGTGAACGACAAAGGGATGATCTTCTCCATCTTCTTCATCGTCCTCACACTCTTTGGCAACTGTATCCTGCCTGAACGCTCACACACACACACACACACACACACACACACACACACACACACACACAATGTGCAAGACACAGACGGATCATGTTCTCACAGTGATGATGGAGTGTAGTAGATGGTCTCCTTTCGTCCTGTCCATGCGTCGATGTTCCTCCTTGACTCCTGCCGCCACAGACACTCTGCTGAACGTCTTCTTGGCCATCGCCGTCGACAATCTGGCCAACGCCCAGGAGCTCACCAAGGTACAGAAAGAATACCATTTCAATTGCAATCTCAGTTTCGACATCTTTTATTTGCAATATTTGAGAAAGAAAAAAATAAATAAACATTTTAGTTATCGTATTTTCATACATTACATTCATATAGAAAGGTGTTCTGGCTGCCACTTGAGTAAATATTCACTTGTGGACTTCACAGTATGAACTTATTCTATAAGTGAAAGCATCTGTCTGGTTGTTTGTTGATTCGTTACGACGAAGGGAACTATGAACAACTCTTCTTAGCCGTCCCAGTGAGAGCGGACACACTTTGGACTCGTGTGCTAGCGAACAAAACAAAAATTCAATTCATCAACTGATACGCCAGAAAATAAGCTTCCCAGCATGTTTGGTCTTTCTTGGTATGTGTCCTAATTAAAAAGATTATGGTTTGCACGCTATAGATTTCAAAACTATGAATAAAATGTGAGTTTTTAGTCACAAAGTTTCCTCTTTGAGGTTGAAAGAAAAGAGGGTGTGGCTGAGTATGAGCAATGGTGTAGTTGCTGTTTAACTTGCTGAAAAGGACCCGACCAACTCCGCTCTCCCCTATACCCCCAACAACGTCCCAAACAATAATTCATACACAAACTAGCGTTCATACCTGTTTTACATTTTGTTAATCATCTTATTTTTAAGTATATTAAGTGTATTACACATTTTCATTTCATTTTCAAATTGATTCAACAACCAAAAGCTGTTCTCTTCTCCTCCAATAGGACGAGGAGGAACAGGAGTCAGCAGCCAATCAGAAGACGGCAATGCAGAAGGCCAAGGAGGTGGCAGAGGTCAGCCCGATGTCAGCAGCAAACCTGTCCATTGCGGCGTAAGTACAGACATACGCTATACGCACTGTACATCAACACAATATTAACTCGAAAATTACACATGCACCTGCACACACAGCATTGTTTCACACACACACACACACATACTTCTGCACAAAAGTCTCTCTGCCTCACTCTTTTTTTTGGTGAAAGCACTGTATCTTTGCTAACATTCGTGATTGGCAGGCATTCATGTGCACACACAAACACCCACCATCGCACTCTCCCCACGTCCTCGTCCTCCTAAAATATGATGAGGCGATTGTTCCGAGAGTGAAAGGAACAGATTCCAAAAGGCTTTGTGGAGTGAAGAAGAGCGAGAGGCGGACAAGTCTGTAGAAATCTGCTCCTGGCAGCAGAAAACGCTGACAATAGGACACATCAATATGATGCTCACAAAGAAACAACCCCGCTGCTCCTTTAGAAGCCACCGGACTCTTCAGTCGCTGCAGGCGAAGCCTTTGATGGTGAGATTAGAAGCTGCTGGTTTTGTGCTAGACCTTTGCTTGTCAATCATAACATATGTGTGGATGATTCCTATAAGTTATGGAATCTAAATAGTGTGTTTTTAAAGCCAATTAGCTCATTAGCTTGGAACCAGTTGGTTGTGAAAAATCTGGTGACGTTTCTCATCCTCACATTATTTTGTTGGACTCTTCTAAAACATTTGGAGATGATGAATTTCCTCCTGTCTTACTTGACACCTTTAGGGGACAGACATGATCCAAAATGGCCGCGGAGTCCTGTAAACTATTAGTATTCGATTAGTATTCTCTTATATAATAGTGGTTTATAGAGAACATGCTTTGGCAGTACTGCTGTTGGCCACTGGGGCAATTTGTCAGCAGGGCTGAGTGGCGAATATTGATTTTGCATTTCTCAAAACAATAGAAACAGATTCAAAAATTATAGACCTATTAAAACATTTTAATTTGGACAATTATTGTAATTTATTAACGCACATAACGTACAATGAATACGCTCTCCTCAAAGACACTAGACTCCATTGACAAAAACATCGTTTTAACTCAGTCCTTTGTAAAACGCACTTCATTAAAACCCGTAATGAACAATGTTGAACTCAACAAACACCAACTCAAACTACACGCACAGAGTTAGATGTGAAAAGAGGCGGGCTCTGCACACTGCACACTGCACACTGACAAAAGTCAGAACAAACTTTTACATTTGGCCTTGTAGATCTTATATGAGTGAAGATCCAGCAACTTGAGCGTAAAACGTCTGTGGCGGAGTGCTGAGGTGGAATAACTGAGAGTGTAGTAGCTTATCTCCGAACAGCAAAGAGCAGCAGAAGAACCACATCAAGGGCAACAAGTCGGTGTGGGAGCAGAGGACAAGCGAGATCCGCCGACAGAACCTGATGACGAGTCGTGAGGCACTCTACAACGAGCTGGAGCAAGAGGACTGGAAGGTGGGAGGTGAAGGGGAGGAGGTGAGGACACACACATACACAATGAGTGATATTATTGGCCATTTCAACCACTTAAAGGGAAATTATCATTTTTTATTCTTGTGTATTAAATCAAAAAAGTGGATTCATTTTGATTTTGAATAACAAAATATAATTTGATTCATACGTCGGCTTTATATCACAGCTAGGTCCCAACATTTTAGGGACAAGATGCACCTGAAAGTGTATGTCAATGGTTCACCAAGAGTCAGACTTTTTCTGTGTCTTCCTAAAGTTGGTACGGTGATAGATTCTTAAAATCCTGAGATGAAGTTCATCTCTGTTCCACTGCAGTAAGATGATCTTAGTCTGGGATCATTAACGTTTACACAAACATCCATTTCAGTGATATTTGAAGTTCATCCCCACTATTGACGATGACATTGGCCTTATTTCCATCCACATATTGTTTTGAAGTATTTCATTAGAAAAGCTGTATGTAGAAGGTAACATTTGGTAAGTGATCCCTCTAACTTTTATGGGATGTAGAAATGCAAACGTTTAACTCACATGACCGATCAGCTTTTCCAACTTCCAATGTCTAATCGTAACAACCAGCTGAAGACCATGTTTCTTCTTCTACTCTTATCTGGCGGATCACAGCCATGTGTATTAGCGTAGCCTATACTCCCAAGCTGAAAATCTTGTTTTGGCTGATGTCCTACTCCTCACATCGTTGCAGTGATGTAGTAGTGTACTGCAGGGTGTGTCAGTGCACTGTGACATCACCAACCACATCCATGAAGTTGTAGATGAAACGGACTTGAAAGTTTAAAGGCAGTTGAGCACTACTTTTGCACTTAAATGACTTTATATTTCTGCACATCTGTATGTAATGTGTAGTGATCTTCAGTAGCAACACCAACACAAGCGCCTGACCTGGTTTACAACCACTGTGTATTATGGGTCACGCTGCACTTCACAGCTTTTTTTGAATCCAGGCTGTGATGTCCCTTTAAGCCTGCAAAAGAGTGTTGTTATTGCGCTAGCCGCTGCTATATGGGACGGCTTGAAGCTGCGTGCTTGGGAGCAATGTATTATTAAAGTGGGGCATGCAGAGACATCCAGAGCTGTACCCGAAGAAGGCAGCGGACTCAAAGCTGGAGCGGGGCTGAAGTGTAATGCACTTAAAACAACTTGATCAGGAGAGTCCACTGCAGACTGTGTGCTCACAGCTGGAGCTGTTTGCCATGTTGTGGTTCTGATCAAGATTCATGACAATTTTGATTTCAAATTGTTCATGTGGAGACAAAAATGTTAAGCTGTTTGCCGAGCCGTGTATATCTGTGGCTCGGGGGATGGAACGGGGGGGGGGGGGGGGGGGGGGGGGGGTTCCTTTCTGCCTGCATTGAGGCAATCTGCTACTGCAACACATGTTAGTGCAATTGCGATGTATTTTGATGAGCCTCTGCTCGTTGAACGCTGTTACAACCCGGTTATACAGATATTAAAATGCATGAAAGACAATGACTTTATTGTTGTTGATTTTGGATGTTTTATTTGTCAACAATTGGCAAAAAAATGCTTTTTTCCATCAGCCTTTAGTGTGAATTGTACATACATGTTACAGTGAGTAAATGACTGGATCTCCTAGACAAGAGAAAGTGAATTATGTCAACAATTGCTAACAAGAAACAACTAAAGCTATAGCTACATTGCTCATAGCAATGTATTTACATGCAGAGATGGCGCTACGTTTTCCATTGATGGAAGCTGGCCTTTAAGGGTCAGTTCACCCTAATCCCCAACAGATATATTTTAATTGTCATGCAGGTAAGTTCATTCGCCTGTTCTCGGGTTGTGAGATGAACCGTCTCTGGGAATTCTGCTGCCACTATCGTGAATGAATCAGGAAGGATTTTGGGTGGGGCCCTTTAAAATGTATCTCAAGTTTTAACAGCATCCACTCATCCCATATGCGACCCTTTTTCCCCGACCCAGGTGTCCTATCCACGGAAAGCACGTGGTGATATGAAGACCCACCTGGACCGGCCGCTGGTGGTCAACCCGCAGGATAACCGCAACAACAACACCAACAAGACCCAACCCGGTGAGCTGCCTCTGGACCAGGAGTACCGGCGCCAGGACATCGACAACCAACGCCGAGCCACCCACCACTACCACTACCACCACCATCATCGGAAAGTCAACGGCCCGGACGGCGGAGAGACGGGCCAGCCGGTGGAGACCCGCATGGAGCGGGGCTTCAGCTGCACGTCCCTGGGCAAAGTGGAGGGCCAGCAAGGGGAGGAGAGGCACATCCACAGGAGCCACCGGGGCCACCGGCACAGGAACAGGGAGGGCCGGGAGGCCCGCAGCGTGTCCCCCAACCGTAGCGTCGGGGTGGAGGGGAACAACGAGCACCGGAGGTCCCGGCAGCACCGCAGGGAGGGGGAGGAAGGCAGGAGACACAGATCCAGAGGGACGGAGGGGGAGAAAGGCGAGGAAGGGGAGGAACGGAAGGCGAGACGGCATCGACACGGGAACCAGGAGAAGAGCAGAGGGCACCGCACCAGAAGGCGAGTATAAAGGACGGGTTCACTTTCAACCGGACAAGCTTTTTCAAGTTTGTCTTTGAGAGTTTAGGAAGCGTCCCCGACACACTGGCCAGTAACCTTTGGCTCTTGCGTGATTGGCTGCCTGGTAGCTGCTGCCTATGATCATTTTACCTCCTCAGTGCCCAATGTCAGTTAAATAAAACCATTAAAAGTCCGAGGTGCTGTTAATATTTCGGTGAAAAGCAAGTGTATTTTATGGCAGGTCATCAAAAAGTGAAAGATCCTGTCTGTCCATCTCTGTGCACTAAATAAATAGTTTGATAGTATGTTCTGTGTACACACACATTCTCACAACACGTCAAATACCACAGCTTGGTCAGGGCCCTCTAAGCTTCAAACTATGACGCTCTACGTAACCCACTCGCATCGTTTCTTGGTCGTTACCGTTGCCTACATAGTGTCTTTTCTTCAGAGTAAACGTCCTTCTTTACAGGAAGTTAGGTTAAGGCAACAAAACCAATGAGTTAGGTTTAGGAAAAGAGACATTAACTTGACTGATTAACGACTCACTTCACTACCGAGTGACTGACGAAGTGTACGTCATGTCCGATGCCAAAGAACACTGACCAGGCTCCTTTAATGGACACGTTCTATGTGTTGGCATCTATATCTGCTGTTTTTGATCACCTGGTCCATAACTCCTGATTGCTTCCTTCCTTCCTCCGTCAGGGAGCACCACAGCACCGGGCCCAGCCTCTCCACCGCGCGACCCATACAGCAGCACAACGAGGACCTGGACAACTTCCGCAACAACAGCAAGCTGGTCAGTGCCCAGGAGCACCCATACAGCCTCCCGCCGCATCACCCCGACCACCCGGACCACGTCAACAACCTGCTGAACTGCCGCGACGCCGACACCCACACTCTGCTCCACAGCATGGACAGCCTGATCCTGACCAGCATGGCCAAACCCGAGTACACCAAGATAGACATGCCGCCCGTCTACCCCTACCCCTCCACCAACGCCATCCTGCAAGGTGAGCATCTGGGGGGGGGATCAGTCGTGTGCAATCGAGGGTATAAGTAGGCATGCGGATGATACAATTATTTGACTTTACTCCTTGAGGGAAACGCACAATAACAAACAGACTGGATCGAGTGAAAGGCAAAGAAAAATGTTGAATATTAAATCATCAAAATGTCTTCAAATCATATCCGTATCGGCTACAAGAAGCAGGTCATTAACTGGTTATCAATATCAGCAAAACAAAATCCATATTGTGAATCCGTATTTGGTGAACACTGCTGCAAATCCAGTCTCGTTCAGTCCTTTCCTGGAAAACAACGCTGGCTGGATGTGTTTCATGTGTTTACCGTCTCGTTCTGGTGACGCTGACCTCTTTCTGTCTCTCTGTCCGTCCAATCCTCTTCCTGTCTTTTCTCTCGTTGCTCTTGCTCAGTGAACAAGAACGCCAACACGGACCAGAAGAAGAGCGAGGAGAAGAAGGAGGAGGAGGACGAGGGAGGAGACGAAGACGGCCCCAAACCCATGCCTCCCTTCAGCTCCTGCTTCATAATGTCCACCACCAACCCGTGAGTGTTCGTGCGCCTGGTCAAACGCTGTAAAGACACTGTCCTTTGTCCTCATTGAGGACATAGAATAGTTATCGAATGTGTTCACACGGCTTGTTTCCTCTGCTCGTCTGTGCGTTGGCACCAGGTTTCGGAGGTGCTGTCACTACATCCTGACTCTGAAGTATTTCGAGTTCAGCATCCTGTCCGTCATTGCGATGAGTAGCATCGCCCTCGCCGCAGAGGACCCCGTCTCGCCGGACTCACCGCGAAACAATGTGAGACATCGCTCCGCGTGTCCTTCTGTACACATTAAGAAATAAAATGTCTCTCAGTCCACTTACTCTCTTGTTTTAGCACTAATAAAAAAAGGAAAACAAAATATTCAAAGATGTAAAAAGTGAATAAATTATTCTTTTTTATTAATCAGAAACACACGTAACAAGGGAAACTGGATTTGGCAAGTAGATTGTGAAATTGTTTGTTTGAAAATGAAGACAGGATTAAGATTGGGATTAGCTCTGTTTGCTGTCTGATTGTTTGTCTCTCTCTCTCTGTTAATCTCTCCTGCTGTGTTTCCTCCTTCACTGATTCATCTTTCTGCTCGTCTCTCTCCAGTGTAATTATATCTCACGCTGTTGTGTTGCTCTGCAGGTGCTGCGTTATTTTGACTACATTTTCACAGGCGTCTTCACGTTTGAAATGTTGATCAAGGTAACAAAGTATCACTGTGTGTGTGTGTGTGTGTGTGTGTGTGTGTGTTGACTTTGTTTATAATGCCTTTGTTTTGCATAATTGTATGATTGCCTTTTTTCTGTGTATTCTCATATTGATGTTCTTGTTGTCTGCGAGTGCATTGTTATTTTATGTATTCATGGTGACCCCCAATAGTCGACTATTTGACGGTCCGATCCAGAGAGCCTGGTCAGACTGTCCGTCTCACAGTCGAATCAGCGCGGTGGCATTTTTGTCTGTACTAGGTGTCTGATTTTACTAAGAACTGCTTGGTTTCTCCCAATAAATCATGATATTTAGCCTACTTAGGACGCGTTACATCCGTTTGTCTCCAGGCCCAGTGCCCCGAGGGGACAGAAGGCTGATTTCTATACCAATTATAAGATAAATACCAAGTCACAAACACACAAATTGTTGAATTGGATGTGTCAGCTCTTTTGTTTGGTGTAGAAAAATGGAAACCAATGGATCAATGGGCAAAAAAACATAGTCGACTGTACATGACCCCCCTGCTCTGTATGTTAGTGTATGTGTGTGTGTGTGTGTGTGTGCGTGTGTGTGTGTGCGTGTGTGCGTACGTACGTGTGTGTGTGTGTCTCAGCTTGGTGTACTGAGCGTGCTCTTTGTCTTCCAGATGGTGGTGCTGGGCTTGTTTCTCCACCAGGGCTCCTACTTCCGCGACTTGTGGAACATTCTGGACTTTATAGTGGTTAGTGGTGCTCTGGTGGCCTTCGCCTTCACGTAAGTGTCCCCCACCCACCCCTACCCTCCTCCTCATCATCTCCACCACCCCCACCCACACACCCACACACACACATTCCACCATCCACAGAAAGACCCTTGTCGCCCAGCCAGGCAATGCTGATCTTCCTCAGAAATCACCACCTCCTGTCTTTGTCTGTCTACCATCTTCTCTTTCTGTCTTCTCACTCTGTCCCTGTGTCTCCTTTATGTCTTTTAAACTCTCCTTTTCTCTTCTATTGCTTTCTCCCTCCTTCTTCTTCCTCCACTTTCTATTCCTGCTCTCGTCTTGCGTTGATATTTCTCTTTCTTTATTGGTTGGCTCTTTCTTTTTTTAACTGTTTTCTGTAGTCTTGTCATTGTCTCTCTATGTCGACCCTTTTTCCACATTTCCATATCTATCTCCTCATTGGTCATCAACACATCTGACATCGAATCAGCAGGTCTTTCTCTATGTTTCATCGCCACTTTCATCTGGACTACAGCCCGTAATCCTTTACTCCTTCAGTTCTTTTCCTAAAGTTCTCGATGATCATCACCAATCTCCAAACCTACACTCTAAAACAATTTAGAAAAAATGGGCTCCTCGTAACATTTAGCTTTTTCTTGATTCTGCAATGTTTGGGGAACCTCACATTGTACCCTGAGGTACTCCTTTGAAACCATTATCACAGTATTTTCCTGATAGTTTTCTGTAGTTCCAAGTGAGGAACCCTAAATTAGTTTTTAGAGTGTAGTTACACTATCTTCACCCACGTTTCACCCCCCAAACCCTAAACCGTGCCTGAAACAATCCCATCACACCAACCTCATTCCCCTTCACTGTCTGACCTAATACAGTGAAAAGCACCACCTGCTCCTTCTCAACATTTTCCTTTTCCCCATTCTTCCTTGCTCCTGTTCCCTTGGTCGCCTACTTGCCAATCCATGCTGCTCTGATATTTCCACTAACCAGGCCGTGAGTCGTCCCGTCCTCTTTTCTTGCATCTAAAGCCCCGACTTTGATCCCCCAAACCTTTGCTTACCAACGCTCCCGCCTCAGGCCCTTTACAGCTTTTGTTCCCGCTGATGCCGTCACCTCCTTCCAGATACCTTCCATAAGAGCCTCTCCTACGATCTATCATTACATTGTTCCCCCTTCGTATTCTGAACATACAGCGAAGAGAGTGAGAGAACAATGGAATATTGTAGTGCTTGTAGCACTCGAAACATTCTCCAAACCACCTCCTCGTGCTTAAGCAAACAGAAAGGGGAGTTTTGATTTTTGTAAACTTGCTCCAACTCCAAGCTGGTGAAGCAGACTCCGAACCTCAGGGTCAGTCCAAGTCTTCCACTATCTCCATAAAAACAAAGGATAAAAAACAGCAGCCGTGCTAGCGCCACTACGAGGCTCTATGAAGCTGATCGAATTCTCCAAAGGCTACGGAAAGGTCGAGGAAAGGTGTTTAGGAAAATGGGCATTTTTTGGACTATTTGACCGCTGCCTCATTTACTAATGAGCAGGCGATAACGTTAGTAAAATAAAGTCTGTTGGTCCTGGCTGGTAGCACCATAATGACTTATTAATAGATAATAGAAGAGAAAAGCAGATTTATTTGTTTGCTTTCTTTAAATATTTGTATAAAGATTTAGTTAAATTTAACGAATCTCGCCACATCTGACAGTTTATGTCACAACGAGTTGTTGCACTCTCTTGCGTTGAATCACGAGCTGTATGTTGGGAACAAGTGTCACCCATTGCTCCCTAGCTTGCCGTTATCCTCACCCACCCCCCGCCTCCACCCCTGTCTGAAGATAACCCCCTACAGTCCGTAAATAACCCCTTTCTGCCCTTCCAAACTCCGCCACTCACACACACACCTTTCAACCCCACCTCCCCAACAACCATTAAAGCCATCATCCTGCCCCCAAACCCCCCCCCCCCCCCCCCCCC